GTAGTCCGAAAGGGATCCTGTCTCCTGCTACACTCTCAGCATAATATCAATGGCTGGATTTCCGATTACGCACTGTAGGCACAGTGTCTAGGGCCTACAAAAGAGAGAAACATAAGTGACTAACGAAAAACGAGTTGAAACAACATGCTTGCGATCAACTCTAGGTGCTCCAAATCAATAATCATACACTATCTAGCGGCTGTTCTAGAAACTAGTATCGAAGTGATTGTTGCTCGACTTGCTCCATCAATCACTTGGTTTAGTATTGGAATAGTTTAAAGTGCATCATGTCAATCAACAGAATTCAATTGGCGTTGACACCTCTTTCTGCACATTACGGAGTGAAAGTGCCTAGGTCCTACAAACACCAAAATCTGGCCCTGCTTAATATCAGACACTAGATTTTCCTGGGTTTCAAGCAGCAACAGAGATGTGTTTTCCAGGCGTCAGGTAAAATACCCTCATGAGCCTCCTGTTTCAACAAAGTCAAACTTGTTTTTTTTTTATTATTAATGAATATCTCTCTCCGCGGATGGAGGAGGTATTAGATTACATGTAGTGTTGGTATTTCCAATAACTAATGGGTTTTTGCTCTTCCGTTCTTAATTAAAAATGTTTTAGTGTTGCGTAGGCGGTTAACAAACAGACGGTGTGCATGAATATTCCTCAGTGAAGAGCATCTTAGGTTTTCCTTTTCCTTGCAGTACCTTCAGTCTGTACTGATCCCTGCTGGGAACCACCAGTTAGACCTTGTTGGCAATAACATTTATTCCAAATATGTGACCCAACAGTGAACTTCCTCAGCTCGACCACATTAAAATCACTGCTGGTTTCAAGAACTTGAAAGGAGAGGGCTCTGCATGGGAAGTGAGGTGATCTGAATGATAATTTCACATATTGTTTCTTTTTGCTCTGTCATTCCTAATGGCTCCTTGTCAGATGGGCACTGATATATCTCATGTCTTGCACCCCTCTTCCAGAAAATAAGCTAGTTAAGCAGGACTTTGTTCAAGGGGCTGGGTAGAATGAAGGCTGCCTTTTTTTGTTGTTGTTTTTGGAAAGCAAAATGAGTCTACGAGTGACAGTGAACGTTCACGGTGCTGTATACTTGATCAAGATCGGCTGTCAGTGTCAAAATATCTATCTAATTCGTGGTGCTTAGTGAGCCCTGAGGTACAACAACAGTTGTAAGGAAAAGTGATTTCTGTGACAGCACTTTTTTTTAACGCACACTGAGATCCAATTATCTACCTGACAACCTAGCACGGCTCTCTTTCTCTCCACTTCCTTTCCCCCGAGCAGCAAAGGGGTTGCCTAGCAACAAAGCCACGAAGCATGATGTAAAAAAAAAGACTTACGCCAGAGTGGTACAGAGTCAGTACCATCCTGCTAAAGGTGTCTTCTGGGATGCCTTAAAATGACCGTGAAACTCCGAGCCAGTCTCAGAAGTATGGCTGTTTGCTTTGTTGCAGTTATTGTCCAAGCTCTAAATTTTAAGAGGCACTTTTACCCAGCACTGCAAATGGTATGAGCCTCCTGTGGCTTCTGTGTGTTGTTTTCAGTGTTTCTCGAAACACCAAGCAAACCAACAAATGTTCCAACAAACAAATGTTCTGAATTACAGTGTCGGAAAGGGTATCCAGCTGCTTCACATTTACAGTCTTGCAAAGTATTCAAAAAGTCCCATTTTCTTGAATTACAAATGATGTTGTATGCCCTATTCTCCAAAAGTAATATTTTGAATTAAGTGCAGTTCACTAGCAGGTACTGTACACAGCTGACAATCCTATAGGTGTTTGTATAGAATTATTATTTAACTGTCGTATACTATTTATTTTAAATTGCTCATTTTAATGTTACCTTCCGGTCTGCTTTCCTTGTTGGTTTTTTAGTAGTACCAGTCAGGATTGGTAAACCGTTTTTTAAACACGTTTTGGAGCCACAGCAACACTGATCAGATTCATGGTTCTATGGCACATTTAAACTGTGTTTCCTATTTTTTCTTGGATTTGTTATTTCATGGTGGTGCACACATGAAGCTGCCTGCCTCATGCGTCAGACCTATAACCAGCGGGCACCACAACCTAGTCGAGAGCAAGATGCTTATAATGGATGTAATTTGTCTTTGCTTTTCACAGCATTTCAGAAACATAATCATGTGGTGAACGAAGTGTATGATCTGGTGTCAGGCTATTCTGTTACTGCGTCTACAGTCCTGGACGTTCTCCCATCCATAATCTCAAGGCTTAAATTTCACAGACAGAAGTCGAAATGTAAGACTGTTGCAGTGTCTGAATTTTAGGATTGACATTTCCACTTCTAAAAGTCACACCATAATTTTCCTGGAGGTTCATGCATGAAAGTCTGTGATAAGGCTCCAAAATGACAGTGAATCCGTGTCAGATAAAACTAGCTCTTCCTAGTTAGTGAGAATCTATGGCGGTCATTCCATCATCACTTTGACTTAGCTGTGCTCTGTGTGCAGAAATATGTAGAAACAATGAATAATGTAATATTCTGTTTTGGGCTCTAGTCTATCTCAAATGGGTTTTACCCATTTCAATCCATCCCCTTAACTAAGAGGTTTTAAGGAATATATGCTAAATGTGGGGTGATATTAAGGAGTACCTTAGTTACTGTACACTACTTTCCCTGATTTATATCAATATAATCTGTATTCTAATGTACATGGAGTTAGAACACTACTCGGGTTCACAGCTATCAGCAAAATATAAGGATTAGCAAACACTGTTGAACCATAGAGTGGCTACAAAAGAATAGGATGTCATTTCTATCTGGCCTGTTTCGTTGTCAGTAGTTAAATGATATGAGGGTTTCATCTAGCCATCTCTTGGAAGAAGTCAGGATATCAACTTCAATAACGCAGCTGTGTGGCTTGTTTCCATACTTTCTTTCTGAAGACACTGAAAAAGGGCCAAGATTGAATTCAGGACTAGACAAACACTTCGCAGATGACATTGAAGGAAAACAAGTGCACACTGATGAATGCAGGTAGCAAAAACGAACTGTGTAATTCTATAAAGAAATTGCACTGAATTTGAAGATGCTCCTTATCAAATCGATTTGGGTGTTCATGTCAAGGTATAATTGTATTCTTGTAGACACTGAAAATACACAATAAAAAGGCTTACAACATTATATTATATTATTAAAACCACAGATTTTATATAAAGGATAAAACATCCTATAAAGCATAGGAGGGTGCTTTATAATTGTACAATTCAGTAACAGGATCTTATTTTAGTCACCATCTTACAAAAAAGATATTGCTGCTGTGAAATCAGTCCAGATAAGAGCAACCGGACACATTCCCACATTAAATGAAATATCATTCACTGGCTAGTTAAAGGACCGCATGTTTTTAGTCTGGAGTAGAGTAGGCTAGGTGGAGACTTCAATTTCTGAAGACACTGGAATAGTCAAGTACTCAAAATCAACAGTGAAACATGACCCAGAGAACACAAGTGGATAGTATGGGGAAGTGCTTGGAAAAGGCAGAACAGGAGATGCACCTTTACACAAAGGTCAGTGGGAGTCTGCAACAAGCAGCTCCACCATGCTGTTGAAGTTCATACCCCCTTTAAAGAAATGGCTGGATAGGATCCATATATCAATTAGCTATTAAAAGCAGGAGGACTAAATTGATTGAGGAGCCTCCTTTTGGTAAATAATAGTAAAAGAGACTATTCTCAGGTCTCCGAATAGAGTACATACCATGGGAAGTCACACTCTTCTGTTCATCGGGGGATAGAGAGCATGGCTGTTACTTGTTTAATGAGCAAGTGCAGCTGAAAGGACACATCAGTCCCTATGTAAATGTAGCTGCACCTTGTTAGTTTCAGTGATGAACAGGAACATAAGGTTAAGCATATGTAGGGGAGGCTTGATTTCAGGAGAAACTGAAGCAGGTGCATATAATCACATCAGTGCTAGCCACGGGTCTACCACTCACAACATAATCAGCAAGAACAGCAATTAAATGACTTGCAGCTTGCAATCACTTTAATCAGTGTTGATTACAAAGCAGGGCCATGTGCTGCTTCAAGACACAATATATATACGATGGCTTGTTTGTTTCTCCGGTTTCTGAAAAAGACAAAAGAGACATACAGTATTTGTCCTGGACATTCACCGTTGTGAATGCACAATTTCACTTCCTTAATAGAGCACCGTGGTACATTTGTAGTCGTGTGAATAGTGTTCGATTTAGAAAAGAAATGAGGGGTTACCAAAATGGTAAAAATCAAGAATTGACCGAGTAGTTTAGTCAATCAGTGAAATAATTATTCATAACACCCAGCTTGTAAGTGATTTTCTAGCAATATACCCCGAGCGGCTGGTATAATTAGAGGCACATTAATTCATACTTTCTGGCACAGCTTTGTTGAGAGGAGTAATAATCCAGACACGCTTGGTTAAACAAATATTTATTACACAACACAAACTACACTGCACACAACATACAACACGTGTTACTTTTTGTACCGTATTTACAAAAAAGGTGTTTCAGAGGCCTTACATTCTGGTCACCCAGAAAACCTCAGACTGCTACTAAGGATTAAACTCTTAATGCCTACAGAGGCCACATAAGAGATAAGCTGCCTTCTAACTAAATACAGTGCAACCTACAGTTAAATCTGTCTCTCTGTACCCCAGATGCCACAAAATAAATGGGAGCCTATCTCCCTATCCATAAAAATGCACCCTAAGCAGGAAAGACTCAGTTTCTAACTGGGGTATCTTTTACCAAGAAAACCCAAGTTCCCTAAACACACAGAAAAGCACGCTCTCTCTAACAAGGTTCGAATACTTCGCTCCAGTCGGGTTTGGTTTGGATGATCAAGAAGTAAGGGCTCTCACCTGGCACAAGCTTCATGTCCCAGATCCTCCGGACTCCTATCTCTTCTCCCTGCTTCTCCTCTTCTTCTTTCCCTTTTCCCTCTTCATGTGATCTTGTATTGTCTGTTTCTGTCCTGCTTGTCACACCCGCTGTGTTTCGGAGCTCCTCCACACCAACGGTCTCGCCCCAGTCAAGCAGCAGCTGGAGGCAACCCCTGTAAAGGCCGCAGATCAGACCCATTAGCCAATCAGGACGGCTCACTGGTTGCCCCACCCTCCACATCCAGACATAGCTAAACGCTCACCCACTCTCATCTCACTGCTCAGTATTGGTATCTCCTTACGAACGCCTTGCCTCGTATCTTCTCTGGCTCTCTAATATATCTAGTGGCCTTGAATTCGGAACCTGTCCTCGACTTCGTTTCTCGTCTAGCCATTTGGCTTTGGTAGTACCGATAACTTTCCCAGTTCTTAACATCTTTTCTGACCAGCGCCCAGAACTCAGCAAGGGGTCCACTGCATCAATACTGCCTGCCATTACACTGCTCCTTTGCGGTGATTAACCCACACCTTACCTAGGCATACTAAGATAAACTTTACAATTGTTTCTGCTCAAGGAACCCCCCCAGACCTCAGCAAACATCAAGTTCAAGTTCAAGTTTCTTGTTATTATACTTATGTACGGGTATATGGTACAGTATAACGAAATGCTACTTAGCTAGCTCTCAGACGGTAAGCAGTAAGCGGTAAGCAAACATCCTCTCTCATTTGAAGTTTGAAGTGTTTGCTCTTCCCAGTGTCACAGACTTTATCTAAGAGACACTTCTAAGTCACCTAAAGCTGTGACAATATGTTATAAGTATTTGCTGCGGTCGGTGGAAACACTGGTTTGTGATGCAGTGATGTTGGACAACAGCTGAACTTGCGCTCCATTTCAATAAGTGCAATATCTCCCCGCTTGTTTTATTTTCACATTCAGAACATTTAGCTTCACTCCCCCAGGAGATTACGGTGCTCTCATAGCAGGCTTCTAAGTGGCTTCATATCACAGGAGGAGCTCTTTAAAAGATCCCAAGAATGCATCATATGTGGGGGCTTGGGAAAATGTCCATACATCATTCCAAAATAAAATAGTCAAGTTCATTTAAGCGCTTTATGGCAAAAGGAATAGGAGAGCACTCGGCTCTTACTTTGTCTCAAACACACTTCATGCAATTCAAGGGTATTAAAAAAGAAAGAGGAAAAAAAAACCCGTTTTTTTAGGCTTTATTTATGTATTTATTAAAGCTGTCATATTTAATTTAATTATCCTTGGAGGAGAATAAGAGTGCTTTCAAAGTAAATTAATTCAGCATAAAAAATGTTAATGTTAATAGGTGTTGATATTTTGATTGCAGGGTAATATGAAGAAAGGCTTTTTTTTATGTGAACATGATTAAAAGGTCATTAAACTGGAACAATAGTGCAAGCACAGATGCATTGAAGTGAATTTAAAGATGAAATTATTCTCAGTGCAGCTAAGATAAATGTACTGTAGCGGTGGAGTAAATTAATATTTCTAATCATAGAACAAAAACACATGGCATTGTCATAATATAGACGTATGTTTTGCTCAGACTGGTTGTTAAAGGAGGTATTATTAGGGAGGCAACTGTGTCAAAGCTTTTTTATTACTTTCATACCCATCGTTCGTATTGTTGTGAAGGATCTGTGCAGTCGGCACATTACATTTGTGGCTTCCTGTTAGCGAAAAGCAGAATAAAGCAAAGGAATAAAAAACAGGTGGGATGAAAAGTGTTATATAAATGCAATGAATTGTTACTGATCCTCAAAGGTCGTCAAGTTAGTTCTTGAACCCCAGACCCGCCAGGCTCTGCTCAGCTTTTCCTTCTGTCTGTTGCTTATCTTTTCCAAGTAGACTCCTCTGTCTTTTCTGACTGGGGGGGGGGGGGGGTGGAATTTGCAGACTCGCTCAGGAGTTTAAAGACCGCAGTTATATCTGCTCCGAGTAATTTCTTGCTCAGTGCTGAAGAGACTCATTTTTTTTTCCCACTTGATAAACTTACTATTCTGGTTTGGGGATCTGAAAATAAATTTGACTCTTTTATGTCCTTGGGGCAGAAGCAGCAAATGACCTTTACGTCTTCTTCAGAAGGGAATCCACCTTTTAGTCAAGCAGAAGCTTTTCTGCCCCCTGAGCTCTCAGTCATAATGAACACAAGCAGGTTTATACGGTAAAAGAGACTGTTAGGCAAGTCTTGCTTATTTGGTTGATAGGGACTTATTGATCCAAGGAATAAATCCCATATTCATTTGAAAGGACCCAGGGAACCAGCTTTAAGATAAGATCATTAGCCATATACAATGTCTTGCATTAGGAATTTGTCTTTTCGCATACCCCAGCTTGTTCTCCATGAGGCACACAGGCGGGGAGAGAGAAGCTTGGGGTCAGAGCACAGGGTCAGCCGTTTATACAGCACCCCTGGAGCAGCTGGGGTGAAGGGCCTTGCTCAGGGGCCCAACGGAGTTGGATTCCTCTGCCAGCCGCGGGATACGAACTGGCAACCTTCCAGCCACAGGCGCAGATCCTGAGCCACAATGCTACCACTCCAGCAGTCCAGTCCACTGTTATCATCCAGTCATGTTTAATAATAATTAGTTTAACACAAGACATGCCTCCTGTTTTCTATTTTCTAAGTGTCTATCATCTTAATTTCCAATAGTGCTCTCAGGTCCCCTTTTTAAATTAGTTAACAGAAAAAAAAATGCTTAACCCATATCTGCAGGGGGTGTTATTAAATCTGGATCTGCTCAGTGCCTTCAAACTAGATGTTACGGAAAACTACCACTGTCCCAATGCTGTTGTTCCTGTACGAAGCCCATTTTCCCCAGTAAGTCAAGCATTTAAAAAAATAAGGCTCAGTTCATGCAGAAAGAAAGTCATTTACAGAAACCAGAAAACATCTTCTATCAGCGAGCTATACAGGTCATTTTGTAATTCGTAATTCATAGACATAGTCTATGTATTAGTTTAATAACTGAAGCAAGAAAGTAAAAATTTATGGAATGCCAAGATCATTAGACAGACTGTCATTAATTATCTTAATATAACATTATTTTGCATTCTTATTGAGAGATTTTGCTGTTTCCTTTTTGTAAGGCAGCACGATGCCATTGAAAAATTGTAGCATTAAAGGTCAGTAATAATGAGCCTCATAAATTTATAAATCATATTAACGTTTTGCAGGTTCTTTCTTCTCCCTTGAGCTACTCAGATATTTCATCTTTGCTGCCGGATTTCATACTGAAGTTTTGGAATTTGAACACAGGCATTTTGATGATAAATCGTAGGAAGATGGCTTGGGTGTAAAATAATTACCAACAGTCAGGTCCAGGACAGGTTTTCTCAGCCTTATTAAAGGCATCAATTCTCAGATTTACACACCGATCACAAAAAGCGGTGGTGTTTCAAGCCAAAACACAATTTCACACTAGATTAATCTGGAAAACCTGGAGAGGGAAACAAAGAGAAAATATTGTTCTCCAAACCTACATTTTCATTTCCAACTCATCTTTGAGAGCATTTTCCAGTTTCTCTTTGTCTGAGCCTGACTTCTGTGCTAGAGTGAGGGCCTTTCAAGTTCTCAATGGATTCCCTTTTTGAAAATAAGATGAAATACTACCATAATATTCTGTCGTGTCATTGAGACATCATTTCTTTCAAACGTCAAATGGTGTGCTTGCCGTGGGAGGTCTTTGAAATAACAATTTCACACTGCAGACTGCTTTTCTGCAGTTGGACCACTTTGCTTCTTAAAGAAATCTGTTATTAACAAAATAAAATGGCGGATGTCAAAAAGCATGCAGAGAGCAAAGCAGAGCAAAGTTAAGCGCTGTGGAACTCTATAAGAGACATGTGATCTAGAGTCATATGACCTGCTGCTGTGAATTCTTATTAAAGGAGGAGTTTTAGTTTATTGCATTTTCCTAATTAAAAAAAACAAGTTACTCGATCCTAGTCACCTTTACTGCAACCTCTGAACCACTTGGTAAGAGAATGACACGTCTTTGGTAGACATGGAAGATCTCGCTGGGCTGTTCCTTCTTCTGGCCTCTACAGCACACTGAGCACCAATACAGAGGGGCTGAGTTTTTCACACTGACATCACTGAGAGCCTGCAGGTCCACATACATTCTCGACTTATCCCAACCCTACTGCAAAGGGGTTCAATCAATTGAGCCACGTTTCTATGAGAATCCAAGCCCTGGAGTGTGACACAGCCTAGACCTGAGCTGCCAACCCCTGTATATCATGGTTCAACCTGCTCTTTCACTGAGTGCCTTCTAAGTCTGAGCCATATGGATGCCCACGTAATGTGAGCCGTACTGCTGTTTTGGATGGGATACCTGCCTGTTTCCTGCTGACCGCAAAAGTAAACATGAATAAATGAATAGCCCAGTTAAGTCCTACAAGACAGTGAAAAGTGGTGTGATAAAAAAAAACAAAACTTCTTGTCATTTTGAAAGAAAATGTGCAAAGTTTGAAGTGATCCTTAGTGTCTTATGTGCTGTGTGACGTCCTCAGTGTGTGCTGCTGTATTTGAACAGCCCAAATAGATGTTTCCTGCATTTCTTTTGGATTTGTTTACATGACAGCAGCCTGAACTGACAGTATATATTTTGTGGCCATAATCTCCTAGGAGTTGATATTAATGTTGCATTCCTTGAGGTCTGACTTAATCCGTCTTTGAAATGCTTCTTCTGGCCTCTTCTGCTGTGATTGCATTGGCTAAGCTGGGAGAAGAGAATTGACGTATTGTAACAGGCTTTCACGGTAACTGAAGCAGAGTTTGTGTACTTCATCTTGTCAGTATTGTCTCTTCATTACTCATTGCACAGGCTCTATAGTGAGGACAAGAAGTCGGATTTAGGAACCCTGACAGTCTGTAATACTGCACAACGTATCAAACAGGTCTTTCCAGTGAGCAGGCAGTTTTAAATATTTTAAACAGGGAGCTGTGGAAGCATGCACTGATCGTCCATTAGCATGGTGCAAGGCCTGCAAAGAACCCAAGACTTACTGGGGAGAATGCTCAGCAGCACTCTGCCCTATTTCCCACTACTGTATTTATAGCTGAGCTATTTGAGAATGCAGATTGCTTCGCAGAGGGGCAGACAGTTTGGTGCAGGCAGCCATTGAAAGACTACTAAAAAC